TTTGCGGCTATTGATGTTGCATTAGTAAAATTATTTCAAGATTTGAGTTGGGTATTCTGGATTTTGATTTTAATTAGTTAAGAATTGAAAATAGTTGAAGTCTTGTTTTGGGTACCTTTAATTTGTTTAAATGTATATGACCTGTATTGCGAATTCTTGTTTGAGTTGCACTTAAATTAATTTGAAAATGTTTCAAAGCTTGGATGGGTATCTTGGTTTGGGTTTTATTGGGTTAAAAACTGAAATGCTCTGTATCTTAGCTGAGTATCTATCTGAAACAAATTCCCTATATTCATATGGCATGGATAAGGTTGCGTACACGCCATACTCTCCTAACTCCACTTGTGGTATTCCTGGGAATGTTGTAAAACTTGAAATGTTTCATGACTTGTGTCGGGTACCCTGGTTAAAGATCATTTCTTCAACTAAATTCGTTCTTTTTGCACATCAATGAAAAAGGTACCAACTTAACTTTGGTTTTGATTTCATTCGGTAAAAGAATGAAAATACTTGGGGACTTCTACGGGGTATCAGTGGGCTGGATTATACTTGGTTAAGGATTGAAGAAGGTACCAACTTGTATTAGTATTCTTGGTTTGGATTTACTTGATTAAAAATTGAAAATATGTGGAAAATGTATTAGATATCCTTGGTTTGGATAGTACTTAGTTTTAAATTGAAAATACTGAGACTAGATTTAGTCAAATGTGTTTTGGATTGCATTTGGTTAAAGTTATTACCTAAAATTGTACTCCTACTTGTTATAAAATTTCTCCCATTTGTTCTTGGAGTTTTATTTGAAAGTGGCTATTGTTAGACCAGTTTATAGAAGTTGTTTGTGCAAATTTTGAAGTCTGATAATATGTCCTTTACAAATGTTTCTTCTGTTCGGCTTCTATGATGTGAAAAGATGAATAGCATTAACGTTAATCTAGTCAAGTCTACTGTCCTATAAATATGCCTCTGTATAGTGGTGGATGTAGAGCTTTGGCAGCTGGTGTGTGTGAGAGATTATGTGTTTATAAAACTTTTACACCAATGCCATAAGGAAGAGTGGTGCAATGGTATTTTGCACCATTAAATTATAATTTTTTATCTCAACTTGTCTATTTGGGTTCATTTTTTTTATTGTGTCTCTATAGTTGCTTCTGCCTCACATGTTATGGTTGTAAAAATCAGTCTGCAGCAATGGTTTGAGTATTGTACAAATGGAAAAAAGAAGAATTGTCCAGTTTGCAAACAGACTTGTACAGAGAAAAACACACATAGGCTTTTTTTTCAATCAGTTGGTGATCCAAATGATCCTAGTCTTTCCCAGCAACCACATGACGTTGAAGGGGGACCTCCCTGTGAATTACAAAATGAGGTCAAAAGGTTAGAGGGGAAAGTCTTAAAACTGGCTTCTACCCTGGAACAGCAACAAAAAGATATCAAAGAAGTTAATGCTGAGGTAAATGGTTCATCCTTTTCCTGTTTTGATTGCCTTGAATTTGCAGTATACAGAGCTTAGAGTTGCGTACTGGTTATGGTATTCACTGTACTTTATTTCTATTCATGAAATAGGATTGGATTAAAGTTGTTGTTAATCTGACTAAAAAAGAATTAGAATTGTAGTATTCCATTTGTAGAAAGAGGTGATTGTAGAAGTTTGCATATCTGTTGTCTAGTTGAGACATTTTTTTATTTTCATTTTCATTACATTTTTGATAGTTTTTGATTCCAGAAAAATACAAGTACATTCCCAGATATTTTACTCCACCAAGCTCGAAACTAAAAATTTGAGGTATTGAAGAGAATGATAAGACTGTTTAGTCTCTAAATATAGTATACATGTTCACAGCAAGAGAAAACAATTAGGCACCCATGGGTGTGACCTAGTGTTCAATGAAGTGGGTTGAGAACTAGGAATTTCGTGTTCAAATTGTTGTGGAACCCAAAACATTAGGATAATGATTTGAACAGTGATATTCTGCTCAAAACCATAAAAGTTTCTTGAGAGCAAATAGACCAGTTCAGGTAATGTCCCGTGGTGATTGCTGATGCATACCTTGTACAGCCAAGTGTTCTGAGAGATGTTTATGTCAGAATATCTGCCTACACATTCATCCCTCCTAAGACTTCTCAAAACTTTCTTTCCCTCAACTAATCTTGCTAATACTGGGAAATTTTCAGTTGCTCAGTTGCAAAGAGCAGTTGAAAGTAGAAGTGGCTTTAAAGAACGAAGCTAAAAAACAGAAGACAGCCAGTCAGCAGTTACTTCATGTAAAATCTCAGGTACATGTTTTGACTCTTGATTTATTGCAAATAAATTTGTGCATTGCATGCTTAAACTGAATGCCTTCTAGTGGGAAAAAATGTACTCTTACAAGTTCTATGTGCTGGGAGAATTCGTATTGCAGGAGCTTGATCAATCAACCTTGGAATGCAGACGACTGCAAGAAAGAAGTATGGCCCTAGCTAAAGAGCTGGCAGCACTCAAGCTGTAAGTGAATTATATTAAGGAAACAAGCATTTATATCATATTTTTGTTGTATTAGAATTTGTTACGACTTCTCATATATGTTCTTGTCTTTAGAGTCTGTGATGTGAACTTGGGGGAAGAAGAAGTCCTGAAGCTTGCTTCATTGGGCAATCAGGCCAACAGTAAAGAGACGATTGACGTCTTGAAAAAGTCACTGGTCATCCGTAACAAGTAATATTTTATTTTTGGAGTTGCTTTTATTTATGAAATGAACTACATGTTACACATCATATTTGTTTTCTGCTTGAGCTCAGGCAAGTCATAGTTGACATGATACCAGAATATGCATGTTGGAATATGAAGGTCTACATATTAATAAATAAGCTTCAACCTAGAAACTCTATCAAAGCCCCGCTTCCCTTGGGACTCTTTACATCCAACAGAGTGGTAAAGTCTGAAAGATAGTTGGACTAGAACTTCTAGTCTGCAAAATTAGAGTTCTTGCACATTATGTCATGCTTACATGGAAGTAGTACTATTTCAAAAAATTTAGTGGCTTCTTTCTGCTCTATAGGTAATTATAGTTGTTAATTTTTTTTAGTAGAGATACTGACTAGTATTCTGAATTTAATTATTTTCTTCAACGACTATTAATAAGATAAATTTGGGTGGAGTAAGTTATATATTGTAAATTTGTCTGTGGACTTGTTAGGATATCCTTTAAAGTATTATGGGGGGAATTGATTCAAGAAGTTTTGTGATTACCTTTCGGGGTGGCCCAGTAATTTGAGCACAAGTTTGAAACCCGTTGCCAGCAAAAACAAGGGGTTTGCCTTCTGGGTCGAGCTCATCGCACCAGACTTGCCTAGTGCGGGTTACCTCTCCTATGTGGTTTTCGAGCTATTGCATAGGAGCAGGGGTTTTACCCAAAGGGTAGCACTTGTGGGTTTCCCTTGTCGTCAAAATAAAAAAAAAAGAGAAGTTTTGTGATTGAGATCTGAAAGTTTTTCCACCAGCTGATCCTTCCCCTAAAATGCTCATCTTTTTACATTGTTAAGTTATTTTCCAGTGTTTTGAGATGTCCAGTTTGTGGTTTACTCTGGTCTGCTTCTATCTGGCACATCAGCATTCTTTATCTTGAAGCTGTAAGTTTGATGCAAGACTACTACTGTGTGCTTCTGGCAGGAGTTACAAAGAATTGATGACCAAGTGCAACACCCTTGGGAGGGCGGAGGCGCGTTCTCTTAGTAAGCTTGAGAAGGCTATAGAGAAGATAGATAAGCTCAAGGTAAGTGCTTGATGTCCTGGTCAATCCAATTTTGTTAATTTCACTTCGAGCTTTGAAGATGCTTCAATGTGCTAATATTAATAGGCAAGGGTCCAAGAGCTTGAGATGGCTGTTGAAGCAAGAGACAATGAAAATTTGAGAACTTTGAGAGCTTCCAAGAACTTTGAAGTTGAATCTGGAAAAGATGTTAGTAAAGAACTGACAGCTGTCAAATGCTCAAACGAGAATCAGAAAAAGGAACTTGCCGATACAGCAGTGCATTTGCATCCGGTCACTGGCTATGGTCATGATTCTCGTCGAGGGGAAAAACGGAAGGTTATGTTTAGTGATGTGAGTGAAAAAGATACCACAGATCGTATCATAACTAGTTGTCTTGACCAAGATAATCAGGAGAAAACCCCTTTTCAGGAAAATAAGGATGGTGGCATTTTTGAGACTTCCAGTTGTATGCATCAAGTATCAAATCGAAAACTGAATCCACTAGTTAACCATAAGAAGGCAGTCCATGAGAATATTTTATCAAGATTGAAGGTAAGTTCGGGGACTGCAGATGCAACTCAAGTAAAGGCATCATATAACAAGTATGAACTCTCAGGCTTAAAGAATTGTGGCAAGAACAGTGCAGTAAACATGTCACCTGTAACTATTCTCGATGATGATGATCTTCTCCCTATAAAAGACTTTACTCAGGGTGAGCCCTCATTTCACATTAGAAAAGGAACTTCAGCTCCAACTTCACTTGCCGAAATAGGTTCTCTCTCTCTCTCTTGCTCTCACATCTTTGATGTTGGTGGGCTGGCAAATTCGTTGGTTGTTTAGATGAAGAAGAATTGCAATAATTATCTGTTTACAAATGATCGTAATTCACTTTACCCTTTGTTTGATTATATATATGAATTGGCCATTGCTTCTCTTTACCCTTTGCTTTGATTTTTCTTGAGGGAGGTCGTGAAATTCATTTCCTCCTTATGGAAAGAAAATTACTCCATAAGAAGGCTCTCTTGACATTGTAAGTCTAAAATTTCAGGAGACCATTGCTTCTCCGGTGGATTATTAGGCCCTGATGGAACAAACAGGCACTTGGGAAAATGGTGTAAGAAGGTCCAGAACAAGGGATCTACAGGGTTGCAAGGATCAGGTGCAAATTCAGGTGATTTGATTTCTGTGGGAGCTGATGGCAGAGGTGGTAGGATTAAAGTTCTCCGATCTATAAATCAGGCCTCTCTGGTGGGTATCTACTCATCTTTCTACTTACAAATGTATATGTGCAATTATTGTTGCTACGTTCCTGTCATATTCCAAATTAAGTAGCTTTACTCATTAAGGTCTCTGCCGAATCCACTGTAGATCCTTCCCATATTTTACTGTGATCAGCATCAGCAGTCTGCACTCGGAGATGCCTGGTTTCTTATCTTCATCATTTACTACTCCTCTAGGAGGATGTAAAATGATCTCTTTCTTACCTTCGAGTGATTTTTGAGAAAAACAAGAAAGCTTTGATATTAATTGATTTCTTTTTCTATTATTTTTTAATTTTTGAGATCCTAATTAGAGACATTTATCAATTTCCCCTTTTTATGAAGTCTTGATATATGTTGCTTTTTAATTCATTTATCAATGATAAGAAAATGAACTTTGTGCCTAAGTTAACCACAAAACTAGTTCATGACGTGAAGATTGCCAAGATCATATAAGGAGACAACTACTCATTCTATTAAACATTCTGGGAACACCTCTCTTAATTAGTGATGGATATTTGGAGATGTTGACAACATAATATAGGGGCCTAACATTGTGTAAATCAAGAATTCGGGTCAATCTTACTTATTGTGTCTAGCACCGCCCCAAAACCTAGGTTATGAGATAAGGATTTTGCCCAAACTATATAAGAAGACAACTCATTAAGAAAATGGATATTGACCCTAAGTCATAACTCAGCTTTTGCGCTAGCTTATGAGGTAATTATTGCTCAAGACCTTGTAAGGAGACAGCCTCTCTTATCGTTTCTTTCTTGATGTAATGATTAAATATGGAGTAGCACAGTTGCAACTTCCTAATCTTTATGTTCAGTGAAGTGGGTTGAGAACTATAAGGTCTCTTGTTCAAAACTCACAGAGACACTAGGCAGACAACATTAGTTGTTGATAGGAGGTGGCAGGTCTTGCATGGAATTAGTTGAGATGTGCTCTAGCTAGCCCGGACACCAGAGTTATTAAAAAAAGAGACTTCCTAATTTTTTGTTTTATCCAGATTTCATCTTTGAAGTGGTTGATCTTCTCCGAATAAAAAAAAGTTACTTGTATTAGTATTTCCTATTAATAGGCAGAACGTTAGTAGGCACTCTAATCACTGAATTAATTTGGGATCAGTTATTAGATATTGACATAGTTTTTGATTAGTTATATTACTGATCTAAGAAGTAAGATGGCGTGGCTATATAATGGAACCATCACCTCATGTAGAAGAGAAGCATAAAAAGTTTTTTACTCTCAATATTGGTTTATAAATCTTCTTCATGGTATCAGAGCTTTGGTTCTAACCTAAGTTATTCCGAATCCTAAACCCTATCCCACGTTCTTTAAGCCAGTTGATGCAAACCCTGATGATTGGTGATATTGTTGTGAAAGAACTGCCGTCTAAGGTTTTGGTAAACGAAAAGGACGATGAAGAAAACATCAATATCTAAGTTTATAGAATGGGAAGAAAAAGATGTCATGGTGAGAAGTTGATGTTACTTATTATAAGTTGCACTTCGACCAAACAGATTTGGGGGAGTCTTGAGGATAATTACCTACAAGATACCAAAGATAAGGAATTTCAGTTGAAGCAACAAATTCAGAGTATCAAAATGAGATTAAAATATGCAGATGAACACATAAAAGAATTTGAAGTAATTTGTGATAGTCTCTCTGCTATACACAAACTGTTAGACGGAGATAGCAAGGTTATAATATTGATAAAGGTATTGGAAACAAATACAAAACCTTGAGGATGTTATGCTGAGCAAGGCCCATATCCAACCTTCACTCAGTTTGGTAATGCACTTAGAGAGTTCGATATGAGAGAAGGATGATATTGATCAAGAAATGACTTTTCAGATCCAGAAAACACAAGGTTTATTCACATGTACTCTGGAACAAACGTGGAATTGAAGGCTTTGGGGGATGATAGACAGAACGTGTAGTAGAGCCTAATTAAGTATTGACATAACTTAAAATTAGTAACATTACTAAGATAGAGATTGTAGAGAGAAGACGTGACTATATAATGAAGCCATTACCTCACGTACAAAGTGAGAAGAGAAAGACAGAGTTGTACATTTAAGCTCAACATTGTTTTATAATCTTCACTTGTCTGTTAATAAGCTCATTTCTGGTAGAAACCTTCAAACTGTATAGGGCTTTTTGTGTTCCCCATAGTATTCAAAGCCATGCTGTTCAACATCATTACCTCTTTGTTCATGAGCAAAACCTTTATTAGTAACCTTCATGTGGTAAAGCTTTATCTCCATCTCAGTGGAAGTGGTAAGAGTTCAGAAGGACAATTTAGTTATCATCTTGTCACCTATTATGATTTGCTTAAACTATTTTGAGCTCAACTACAGAGGAATGACAATAAACGAGCCTAATTGTCGTAGTATCTAAGATAGCATAAGTTCCCAACTTCTAAGTTCCAACCAATTATCGTCTTTGCATTTTTATTGTGAAGTACTGTGTTTGCATTTAGAACTAGATCATTTGCTTCTTGGTCATATGCATTGTTCCCTTCTGTTTTGAGCATCTTAAACAACTAATATTATATATTTCATACTTTGACCCTGTTATAGGAAGAGGTTAATTATCTGAATGTTGAAGTTTATTTGTTGCTCTTTACTTCCTGATCAGGACAAGGAGAGTACAGAATCAATAAAGAGATGCAAGTCCGGCACGAAAACAGGTAGTTCACAGTCTCAAGGATGCTTGCAAATAGATCATTTCTTCAGAAGGGCTGGTCAATAGCACTTGTAGAATTCTGCTCTGCATATTCATGGGGCGTTCATTCAGTTTTAGATTTGTTGTGTTACTAGATATGTTTTTACTATTTTTTTACTGAAAGAAACAGAAACAAAGAGATCAAGGTGTTGAGCTAAATTAAGTACATATTCTGTAGTTTACATCAATATTCATTCAGGCATAATTCCATATCTTGCTAAAGTAGTCACTTGTCAATTTTGTACTTTATGATTTCTTGAGGTTGTTTGAACAAGTTAGACGGCAGATACTATCGTGTTCAAAATTGAATCATAATCGATAATCCAAATGGAGAAGTGTTCTTGAATGATTGGATTAATGGTATAGAATTTTCTAAAGAAACAAGTTATCGATTTGAAAATGGATTCTCTAGTTTTTATACTTGATAACTCGTCAATTCCTAAGAATTTACAATATTATTCTCATTTATTTGAAATAGAAATATACATTGAATATTATGATGGAGGGCATCCAATTAATTGTTTTGAATTAGTAATCTCAAAATTTCATACTACTATCTTTTTTAGTTTAAAAGAGTAAGAAAAGTTGATATCATCTTACTCCTCTATTGTTAGTTAATGTTATATTCACGTGTATTTTCGAACAAAATTAATATATATCTTATTGTTTCTATAGCATTTTAGCACAAATAAAAATTGATTATTGATAAGCTAAACCTATCACCAGATAAACACACAAGACAGATACCAAACTGGGCCAGATTTTTTTTTTCTTTCATGTTTAGTCATTTGAAGTTTTCAAGTGTTAACTTTCTTGTAATATATTCTTTCTCATCTTTACTTTCTTTAATTTCTTCTTGTGATTGTGACAATTCGAGAGGACAAGACAGTGCCCAACTGCCCACCTATTTTTTTTTCCGCCTGATGTCCGGTATTTATTCTCTAGACGTTAAATTCTCGAATGAGTAATCGCTTTCTAAATTTATTTTCCATATTTAGGACTCGTACTCGAATCAGGCACCACATTTTTTAGTGATACCTATCCAAATTTCTTCATTCATTTGAGTGTCAAATTTCTCTTGGTCTAAACAAGACCTACAATTTAGTATTGTGGTTTGGAAGCAATTCTTTTCCTTTTTTATACATTCGACCGAATCCACGTTTTTTTATTTAAAAAAAAACTGTACCTATGTATTATTAAATACAATTCAAATATGGGGCAACTTTCACATATAGCAAACAAAAAAATCATATTTGTATAATATAGCAAACTTTGCATAATTGCGTTCCATAGCAAACATAAAAACTGTATAATTCGCTATACATATAAAAGTGTATAATTCGCTGGCCTAAATTGTATAATTCGCTGCAATTGTATAATTAGCTTTGCATACAGTTGAATCGAATTAAAATATATGTATATTGCATAATTATAAGTGTATAGCAAGAAGATATATGTTTTTCTCGCTTTATACAAAAACAGAAACACAATATATACACTTCTGTTGTATAAAGCTAGAAAAAATTGTATTTCACTGCAATTGTATAATTCACAATTGTATAATTCTTTGGCCTTTTTCTCTGCAATATTTGAAGTAAAATGTTTGTAAATTATATAATTAAGTGTATAACACGAAGATATACATTTTTGCATGTGTATATACAATTTTCTCTCGCCTTTATACAAAATAGAAACAGAAATTATACACTTCTGTGTATAAAGCGAGAGAGGCGAGAATGGGAGAGTGGTGAGCGAGACTTCTGGGAGAGAGACACCTGGCAAATTTTTGCCAACGTTTGCTATGGAGCACAATTAAATCAAAACCTAGCTATTCCATTTAATTTAGGTTATTAGTTTGCTATTTTATACAATTTTCCCTTCAAATATTTGCCAATTTGTCGACAAAAAAACTAAATTTAGGACTAAAAAATATTTGAAGGACCACAAAACTCCTAACTAAGAGAAAATTTAAAATCATGTCATGTAATACTCCCTCCGTTCACTTTTACATGTAATTTAGTTCTAAAATAGATTTTTCTTTTTACTTGTCACTTTAACATATCAAGAAAAAATAATAAATTTTTTCATGTTTTACCCTCAATATTAAATACTTATTTTTCAAAATATCATCTAATCGGGGATAGTTAAATAAAATATCTATATCAATACATTATTATTTTCTTAATAAGTGTGTCAAATCAAAACGTGACAAGTAAAAGTGAACAGTGTAATTTCACTAAAGTGAGACACTTGAATGTTATGATCAGTCAATTTCACGATTTACTTTAATGTTGTAACACTATTAATTCCGTGATTAATAAGTTCACATCGAGAACGAGAAGGATCTTGATTTTTTTAATATAATTAATTTTAATAAGGATAAATAATTGTTGATACATCGACTTTAAAATCCAGTAAGTAGTTTCGAGGAAAACTCTATTAATTTTCACATGCATATAAAATGCATGCGTGTCTTATACTTTACAGCTCGTAAATATGGAAAAATACCAACAAACTTTTCAAGCGCAGACAAAAAGAATATAAATTCGATTTTGGAAAAATTGATTAGTAATGACCAAAAAAAGAAGTAAAGAAATAAATAAATTATACTTGATGAAGCAAATGGAATTTCATTTTTAAATTTGAACAAATTAAGCTTGATAATATTGACGACTAAAAATTCGATAATTGAAGTGTGATCTCGGGAAGCCAAACTTCTTGCGCGATTATTGGAAGAAGTTAGAATTTGCATTTATTAATTGCCAAATATTAGTCGTATATATACTTGAAATTGTTTTCAAAACGGGACCAAATCTAAAAAAAATTACTATCTTCGTTCCTAATTACTTGTCCATTTTTTCTTTTTATAGTTATCTTTAATTATTTGTCCATTTTAATAAATCAAGAAATGACAATATCTTTTACCTATTATACCACAATTAAATGACTAATTATTTTGAAAAATGTATAACTTTTCATCCACTTCATGATTAATAGGGGTAAAATGGTAAACTCACTACATCATTAATTATTTTCTTAACAAGTGTGTCAATTCATAAGTGGACAAGTAAAAAGGGACAGGGGAGTATTAACTTCGCCCCTATAAACCAGGACACTATGTTTTTGAAATATACTAATAATTGTACATTAATTAATGGATTAATTACGGAAATACATCTTTTAGTTTACTTATTATCATTATCTCCGATAAGTTTTATAAATTTTTAAAATTTCTCATTCTCGCGCATCAGATTAGTGTGTCATGCATAAAATGTATCTCTTGCATCAGATTAGTGTACCTCGCGCATCAAATTAATGTATCTCGCGCATCACATTAGTGTATCATGTATGAAATGTACCACACACATTAGATTAGTGTATCTCGTGCATCATATTAGTGTATCTCGCACATTAAATCAATGTATCTCGTTCATTAGATTAGTGTATCAACGCTTTTATTATTGTATTCGTTTTGAGGAATTTTTATAATTATAAACTTTTAAGGGATAGATTATAACGTTACCTTAAAAATATGTGATTTCTGTATTTGCCCATTAATTAATTTGATAGGCGAAACTAGAGTTAAAAATTTGAAGTTCTAAATCAATTTTACTTGTGAATTCACATGTTAATATACGTATTGTTATTTAATTTTGTAATAAAGATATAAAATTTACAAAAAAATTAATAATTTCGTTCGAAACAATGAACGCCATCTAACTCCCTCAACTAATTAATGCATTCATAGATACGTGGGAGCTCCGTGAAGGGGTTAAAAAAAAAGCATTCGTGGCAAGAAAAGAATTTGATTTATTGGAAATCAACCTGATAGGTGGATTAGTCCAATTAAATTCTTGGTTGACTTGTAAATACGTGCATGAGTCAACAAGCCTAGCCAGCTTTGACTTCATTTACATTTATTTATTGGTAAAACTAAGACTTAAGTTTGAACGATGATGGCCATGGGGTAGAAGCTAACAACATGGATTTTGCTTTGAAACTAAGATAATTTCTACTTTAAAAATATTTCACTTTTTGACTTTTGTTGTGTTCGGTATGATAGGATATAAGAATTCTGATAGTTCAATTTATTGACTATCTCAATTTTTAGTTTATTGGTGAAGCATTGAATCCTCACCTTGCTATTC